TGTTTGGCTAGCCAACACAATACTAACTGACTTCGAATGATCAATCTGATCATGTGTTGTCATGACGTCTTATTAACTGCATTCCGTTTGTAATTTATTTTTTTTTACGGAGATACTCGCGTTATTTCAAAGAGAATTAAAATCTTTAAAAATTATTTGACAAAAATGATATATACGTATAAAAGAAAAATAGTTCAATGTATAAATAAAAATAATTATTTGTATATATAATTGTTTAATGAATTATATTATAAACTTTTTACATTAATTTATTTCTGAGTATCTTTTCTTTGGCATAAGAGGTACGTTTACTATAAAAAGATATGCTGATTATAAAAAAAGTAATAATGGATTTAAAAAAGCGGTTTATACGTTTTCTGTGACATTCATATAATGCAGTTTGAATCAATACATAGCGTTTTTAATATAAATCATGTAGTTCTAGTATAAATAAATACAAATTTTCAATAGCACATAAATAACTAAAATAAATAAAATAATTGTACGAGTTATTATTATCGTTATTTGCATCAAATAAACTTATAATAACGTATATAATATAATTTTACTTAATATTAACTTAACATAACATACTTAATATAATATATAATATAAAAAACTAATAATATTAATTACTTTATTATTTTAATTATGTTATTGTAATTTTATATATGACAATTTTTATATGCATCAGTGTGCATTAATGCATTAATACATTCAAGTATTAATACATGCATATTTATTTACAATTTTTTTCATTAATTAACAATAAATTATTTCTATCAGTTAGATAATACATATAACAATAATATTTATTGGATTCAATATATCATCTCTTTTACGTCACTTCTTAGAACTACAATATTTTCGAGATAAAATTTAAAGTTTGATTTAATTTCCGCCCGCAATGCAACTAGACAACATTGATATCCAATGGATAGTTAACCTTTAATTACGTCAATAGATGACGAAACACAATGTTTTATGACACGTGACTGTCGTCAATAAATAACTTTAAGATATGCTATGATGCCCGAGGTAGCATACATTCGTTTTATAATATCGGATACGTTTCTTAAACGTATCCTATATTTTTTATTCGTAAAACATTAATAAGAAACACATTACACAAGAAAAGTGGGATTAAGAGCCGCCGATGGTAGTGCGTACATTTTTTTTTAAAGATTAATTATTCGCAAAAATTTAAAACGTGCACAAGGCATATGCATATATTTTACTTGGTACATTTACCAAGATATAGATTCTCAAATTTTGAGAATTCTGTAGACCTCTCTTTACTCCTTGAAGAGATGTAGACGAGAAAAATATCGGTGCGAAGTCGCTGAATCGAGAAACGAACCCGAGTCTTTCGCTTGCCGGACAACTGCTCTTACCACTGAGCTATTCGGCTTCACACCTTTGGGTGGATGTTGGATTGGTGTGAAGAAATATTTTATTATAGTATTTTCGAAAGTTCTCGAGATAAGCTACAATAATAAATAATAAAAAATTGGAGGTCCCGTTTAAAAAATTAAATGTGACCTTCAAACGGTTTTCCAAAGTCAAACTAATGACACCATCTTATGGCTCCCTTTCAACTTTATAACTTTTGTCTGAAATATTTTTGTCTGCCGTACTCAGTTTTTGAGATATTCGACTGTCACGGATGATCTGCGATACCCTGTATACATGTTTCGACAATACACATCAGTCGGATTGCCTATCTGCCCACCAGAGGCATGCTTTATTGGGCTCGCAAAATAAGATCAGAATGCAAGTTCGAAGAGGAATGAGGAAAGGGAAATCGGCTTTTATGACTCTGTAGTGAACAGTTGTTCAATTTAATAATATAAATAAAATATTTATTTAATAATTTAGATAAAATAACATAAATAGTTTAATAAGTAAATTTGAACAAATATAATAAAAAATACTTATAATGAATAATATTTCTTATCTTTGAATATAATAAATTATAAAAATTGTAATGTAATCACTATTTTTTCCTAAACAACGAGCAATCCCGTCCATGAAAATGTCTCTCACTCGTTTTATCATGAAAGAAGTGATTTCCGCACACGCGTTACGAAATCTGTTTTTAAGAATTTCCACATCATTTTCCTGCAAAATTTGATACATTTTATTTTTTTTAAGAAGCTCATAATAAAAAGTACTTATTATATCTATGCATCCAACACTTCCAAAAATTGCTTCGTAGAATATTTCCCCGGAGAATATTTTTGAAAAATATATCGTCCGGCATCATTGAAATTCATTTACATAAATTGAGTAAGTTAGTATATAGTTGACGACATAATTAATAAGTTGGTAAATAATAACAATGTTTGGTATGTTGCAATAAAAGAATAAAAAATAAATATTTTAAATGAACTTACATGTTCAATAAGCTATTCAAAAAAATTTAAACATCGTGGCATATCACCAAATATGAGCTTTTATTGTATGCTATTTAAAAGGATGCCAACCTTTCCCCTCAAAGGAATGTTTAATAATTTTTTGAATGGTAACATGGGTCATGTTCAAATCAACAAACAAGAGATGATCAAGAAACTATAAAAACAGAAATGCACCTGGATACTCAAACAATTTTGTTGGCAGAAAAAATCATACGTAAGAGATTACGATGGAAGGAAATAATTATTCATACAAAGAATTAACGGCCATGATCCTTATTTATGGTGAGTGTCGAAAAAATCAAAAGCAAACGGCTGCACTTTACGCTCAAAGATTTCCGGACAGACGACATGTGGACCATAGTTTCTTTCACCGCTTGTGTGTGAAAGATTATAAAGAAATGGACAATTTTATAAATCCACCCCAATCATGTTCCACAAGAAATAATTGATGCTGTTCAAGAGGCTATTATAACAAATCCTCATATAAGCACAAGAGCAGCTACCGGATTTGAACATGAATCATATTACTGTTCCTAAAATTATTAAATATTCCCTGGGTTGGTATCCATTTAAACGGCATACAACACACGAGCTCGTTCCTCGTGATATGCTACGACGAATAAATTTTTGTGAATGGGTTATTGAACACGTAAGTATATTTATATTAGTATAGTTATATTTAAAAGTATATTTATATTAGTATAGTTTTATTTAAAAATTTATTTTCTATTTTTTTGTTGCAACTATCAGATGTTTTGTTGTCGATTGATATTAGTCGTCAACTTTACACTAATACTCTATGCTCGATTTACGCAGGTGAATTTCAATGATGTCGGAAACGATATATTTTTGAAAAATATTCTCTGAAGTGACGAGGCAATTTTTAAAACGACGGATGCATAAACAGACATAATGAGCATCATTATGCGCAGCATAATTCACATGTAGGAAGGAAGTAAACATTCAAGGCAGATGGGCTATAAATGTGTGGCTAGGAATATCAGTCTCGAATTTATTCAGGGCAATGCAGATTATTATGCAAATTTTTTACTCCATCCGCTTGATGAACACCTTGAAGATGTGCCACTAGTTAATAACTAGAAATAATATTTCAACAAGATGGACATCCCGCTCACACTTCTATTTTGGCAAGAACCATCTTAAATCAAAAATTCCTGGGAGATGGATCGGACTTCATGGTCCTCAGGAATAGCCACCACGCTCTCCGGATCTCAGACCCGTGGACTTTTTCATGTGGGGCTTCTTAAAAAATAAAGTTTACCATACTCTGCCGGAAAATGCAAAAATTCTTAAAAACAGGATTCGTATCGCGAGCATAGATCACTCCTCTCATGCTAAGACGAGAGAGAGAAAATTTCATTCGCAGAATTACTCTATGTTTAGAAGAAAATGATGGTTATATTGAACAATTATTATAATTTATATTTAAAGACTTTATATTTAAAGACTTATTATATTATATTTAAAGACCAAACATATTTTTCATTATAATTTCATTTTTATTTTTCATTTTTTATTATAAATTTTTTGTTTAAATTTATTTGTTAAATTTTATTTACATTATTAAAATATGTTAATATATATTATTAAATATTATAATTAAATAAAGTGTGATAATCTAAATTAATAATATGTTATAACCTGTATTAAATAACAAATAAACTATGTAGAGAACACATATTCCCTATATATTATTTTCTCCATATATTATTAAATGTATTGTATTTAGATTATCAAATTTTTATATATTATTATATTCTATATTATTAAATATATTTTACCTATATTATTAAATTTTAAAACTGTTCACTATAACAGAATGATAAAAGTTGATTTCCCTTTCTTTACTCTTCGCCGAATTCGCATTCTAATCTTATTCTGCAAGCCCGATAAAGCATGCGCTTGACGGTGGGCAGATAGGCAATCAGACTTAAAGATGTGTATGTTGCAAAAACATCCTGTACGACTGCATACTTTTGTAATCATCAATATAATTTGAATATATAGTAAGTAATTAAATAAAAATATATAATATATATATATACTTATCACGAATGATGCAAAAAGTTCATTCATGATAACTGTTATAAATTCAAAAATAATTATTATATTTATATAATCACAACTAATTATGGAGGACATTATTCGCATTTCCTCTTTCACTCATAATTTTACAATCAGTTTGTAATTATCGGTCACATATAATGTCGAAAATTAATTTTATTCCCATGTTCAAACAAATATTGTTTATACATATACATATAATCACAATCATTAAATTTTGTTTCGATTACTCAAAAACACAAATTAGATATATCATTATATTATTTGATTTTGTACAATCATGAAAACGGATGTGATATTTTTTAATAATAATCAAAATTGTATGAAAAGTAAGATAACAAAATTTCTTTAATTTTCATTGATATATGTAACATTAAGATTAAACCTAAAAGTAATCAGATCAAAATCAATTTAAAAATATCTTAGAAATATTTTTTCTACATTAAGATTTATTGAGCCGTTTGGAAAATAACATAAACATTAATTTAAGTATATCGGCTAAATAATATCGACCGGACTCAGTAAGGCATCCTCTATGTTCTTTCTTAATGCTATAATATTTTTCAGACAAAATTCGAAATTTGGTCTAGCATCCGCTGCACTCCAGCAACTTAGCATCAACTGGTACAATGGTGACGGACAGTTAAGAGTCATTGGCAACCTGCCTCCAGCACGTACATAATTTATCACTTCTTCATTAGCCTTGGCACTATAAGGTTGCTCACCCAACGATGTAATTTCCCACATTAATACCCCAAATGACCAAACATCACTTTGAGAAGTAAATTTTCTGATTATCAAAGATTTGGGTGCCATCCAGCGAATAAGAAACAAACTTTCTCCTTCCTAAAACATGATTTTAAAAATTTAATGTTCTGATTATTAATTTTTAGAATACGTGCAAATGAAAAACGTTAATTTATCTCTTGCTATATATAAATAAAAACTACTTATATTCTACTATATATTACTTAAGAAACAATGCACGATACTATTATGAAAAAACCATAAAAAATGGAAAGTATTTTCAAAAAAATTCATTTTTTAATCCCTAATTTTTTTTCATAATTGTACTTACCACGCGATAATAATCATCCTTGTAGAAATCTCTAGCTAGTCCAAAATCTCCAATTTTTATGACGCGTTCTCTCGATTTCTCGAAGATACTAAACAATTGCGACACGCTAGATCTCTGTGTATGAAACGTAACTCTTCCAAGTAGCAACAACCTCGCGCAACATCTTCGCACATAGCGAGCAAATCTTGCAAACGCAGAGCAAGCGAATCTGACGCTTGCAAATTTCGACATTCTCTCAAATATTTTAACAGATCACCAGTTTCCATCAATTCCAACACTAGTAACGGAGAATCTCCATCTAAACAAATGCCCAACAATCTTAATATATGTTTGTGTTGAAAATGATTCATAAGCTTGGCTTCCTTTAACAATTTCTCTTTCTCACGGGAAGAAGCATCCTTTCGAAGCGTTTCTATTGCAACGGATATCTCTGTGCCCGATTTTTCTAAATCCTTCACCTTTCCTGTGATACACCTGCAAAATATTTCATACAAATTTACATGCATACTTTATTAGAAAATGTATAGTTTAATGTCAAGCAGTATTATATTTTACTTTATATTAAGTAATTCAATGAAAAATATATAATAAAGTGCATGCTTGTTGTCTCATGTACATTTTATATTACTTATAATCTATTAAAAAAATTTATGTAATTTATATCTTTATCAGAAAATACGTATCTGTTTTGTTAATCCAAAAATTAATTTGAAATATTGTTTGAAAAAATTAATTTTTACCATTCCGAATGTGCCGCTACCAAGATGTTTTGTGAATATAATTTGATTTCGTGCAATTTTAGTAAACGTACATTCATCCGGATTATAATGTAACATAGAACTGTAAATCATATTGAATTGAGTGTTTCGGCAAGGTACTTCATGTAGAATCGCCAATTCTACATCGGCCGTTGTTGAAGACAAAAATTGATCATTATTACCTCTGCGTTGACGATATACTGTTGTAAAATTTCGAGTTAATTATGTAATAATATGTATTATAAAATTACTGTTTTTTAGCAAATTTATTCATTTAGTTTTATATAAGTAAATTATTATTTTCAGTAAATCTCAAGATATTATATCAGATATATATGTATAATCTAAACAATTAAAGTCAACACCTACATCAAATATACTTACAACGATAAATGTAGAAAATACAGATTATAGGAACTATACCCAACATCAATAATAAGTAATATTTATTCGCTATTATTCCAGGAGTACTCGAAATATCTAGATTAAGCAAAAGTATAATTTTAATATCTTCGTGTGTGTATATTTTTATAAATTTATTTTTACTTATAACTTTATTATAAGATCCAATTTTTTTAAATTTCAGATTCCTATTCATATCCAAAAAATATCAGCACATAATATTATAATATCTATGCAGCACAAAATATTACAACTACTTTGCAACAATGTTGCAATATTACAAATTGCAAGGCAACATTACGGAAACATTGTAGAAATATAATTTAACAAAATGTGAATTAGATATTAGCAATATGATATTCATATTTTGAAAACACTTTAAAACTATAACACTCTTTAATTTATCTATAAAAATAATGTAATAATACATTTTTTTATATCTGTATATATGTGATGAATTTTACTTTTTTGCAGAAGTCAAATGAATAATTGACACAAATAATATCGAGTAAATATAATTCTAAGCTACAGATAAGCCTTGCTATTTTTTTATTAAAATATAGATAACATTTTATATCAATGTTACAATATATTTTATGATATATTTTCACTTCATGTACGAATACGATATTAATCTTCAAAGATAATATATCTTTTTATTATAATAAGAATAGATACTATTATATCGATCATTATATTTTTCTATGCATTTTTTTGTGCTTTTCACATGCAAATATATGTAATTATAACGGATTTTTTAAAGTTTTAAATTTTTAAATAAAAATGTAATTAGGAATGTATAATTAATTCTATAACTAAATGTGTAACTAATATAACTAATATATAAATGTGTATAAAATACCCATTATAAGAGTATATAGAACATTTAAAATAAAAAAAGTGATTCGTAAGTAATAGTTTAGAGCAATTTTGTATAAAAATATAACATTTTATTTTATATGATGTTATGTTTAAATATAATTTTGCAATATATTAGATATCATAAACTAGTATTTATATCAAGCTTTTTAATTTAATTAAATGTTTCCAAGATATTTATCCATCAAAAACAAAAAATATTTTATACGTAATGTCATTAAATAGCTGCAATAACATTGCATTCTTCCCAATATATTACACTGTAATATTGCTACAATATTTCATTGCAAAAAGCGAACATTTTAACTTTATCACAATCTTAAAACAATATCTCATCAAAGTTTCGCATTCGATTTGCAATATTGCAATGTTTCAATAAAATTATTCTTCAATATATCCGCAATCTTATCGTGCTGTATGGGTATTGTCATTTGCTTACCACGTTTGCGACCACGTGTTGAAAAAATGAATCTTTCATCAGCCGGCCATATAAAAGTTTCCTCATATTCAAGATATCTCAATATCAAGCGAAACTTGTATAAAGTTCCCGATTGTAAATGGGATGGAAAATGATTTTTGACATAGTATATTACTTTATCTTTATAATTCATTTTATAATAATTCATTATTTGCCACTTTTCTGTTGCAATATCTTTGTACTCTAGTGTAAAAGAGATTGTCAGATTAATGTTGGAGATCCATGAAATGTTCATGCTATTTATGTTGACCTCGCTCAAAGTAATATTGTTTGGTTCTGAGGATATGTGAACGATCTTGCTTAAACTCTCGTTGTAGAAATCGCTGATATTAATTGGATACACACGCACGTATATCAAGTAATCTTGTACTAGTAGCAACAAGTTAATTTTTGTGAAATATCTGCCATCTGCCATACGTTTCGGCATATTGATAAATTGTTTGCTCTTTTGTTGCGTGTCGTTCACTAACTTCCAATGCACTTCGTAGTTCACGCTCACGCAGTTCAATTGCTTGGGTGGCATCCAATGAACTACTACTATAGTAGGCGTCAAAGCTAAAACACTTATGTTTTCTGGTGCATTAAGCTTGCCCGAATTAGTTTTTAATGATATCACATTCGAATTGATTGGATTTATTGATAATTGATCAAAGTAAAAATTACTTAAAGTAAACTTTAATTCGTACTCTGTAAATGGTGTTAAATTTTGAACCTCGTAATGTCTCACGTCACATATCGCAGCACATTGAATTTTTCAGACTTGTCGAGGTTGTTGTCTAAACAATGGCTTACAGAGATAGTATATATAGTTGGTAAATTATATTTTTTACATCCACTCTTTACAACCGGCTCCGGTAAAGTTACATTGATGCTGTTTGCCGTTGCATTCATATTCTCAAAATTGTAAACTTTTTCGTAAGGTGTTAGACATCTCATTGGAGGATATGGTTGTACAGATTTATCAAAAGCGTAAATTTTATAATGGAATTGCTGTGAGCTTATTATTGTCTTTTCAACATATTTGGCTGCATTTCGGCTCTTGAGACTTGCATATTTCTTTTTCAAAACGTACATATATAAAATTCTCTGATCATATTTTTTAAATGTGAAAATGTAGATATTTGTTTTGTCAATCGTCATAGATTGGAAGGCGATGTTATCCTTTATGTTTTTCATGTGTAAAATCTTATTGCATATAGAAACGTTAATGTTTGTCACAAATATGCTATTAGAAAATAACCAGTAAATTAACGGCTCCTCATTATTCATATCATCAATTATTATATCACGAAAAGAATTTATAGAATGAAATAGGCAAAAGGATGTATTTATCTCAACATTTTGCTCGATTTCTCCATCGAGATCATATTTCACCATACTATATTCTGTCATTGTCCTATTATTGTATACTATGTATATTCCGTATAACATTCTAAAAAATATGTAATTATTTTACTCATTATAAAACATTATTTTAACACAGAATTACTTAACATTAATTAAACAGTAATCGGGCTTGAGGAGCTAATATTATGCAATAATGTTAAAGTCAATAAATAAGAATAGATTTAATAACGTTGCAATACATTTAAATTAAGTAACTATTAATGACTGTGCGCATTATGTGAGGAAGTGTATAAGTAACTATTAATGAATATGCGCATTATATGATGAGATGTAAACGTACGTTTCTGTCCTCAACTGGACTCTCTTCAGTACAATTAAAAAAGAAGAATTTTTCGGAAAATTAAAACTTAAAAATTATAAGGATTACGCTTATCGCATGAATGGAATCCAGGTGGACCGTATATTCGGCTGTATAAATTAACTGTGCAATTTCTTAGCAGTACTAGATGTCGACCACGTGGTGGATGTTTCCAGAACGTCTCTCCTCCTCTCATATTCTCCGTATATAAATACAATAGAGCCATTATTAGAATTAATTTACAGGTCAAATTTTTGAAGATTTGTGTTAAAAATGAAGTATTTCCCCGACATATTAACTTTGGGAATGATCCCAACTTTTTCCATTGCAAATCTAGAAGAGCTATGCAAAGAGCCAAACTTGATTATGCACTTCGTTTGTTGAGATTAAAGATAAACGACGCGTACAGATAATTACAGTTTTCAAAAAATAAGCTATATGAATTATCATGGAATATTTACAAATATTTTCCTTTACATTTATGGAATGTTTTTTATATAGGTGCTACTCGCTCTCTTCATTTTTATTTTTTGAGAGAATCTAGAAGGGTTAATAGTAAATGGCAATGGCTCATTGACAAACATGAACGGTGTGAGAGAGTGATGCCCATCAATTACTCTTACTCGCATAAAAAACGTGACAATGGTTCTAACAACAGTGAAGACAATATACAGTCGATTATTGTGGTCCCACATCGGAAAAATCAGTCAGAACAACAATTGTCAGATAAAGTATCGACTAGTAATGGAGGTTATGACGGGGAGGTAAGAGTCTGTCCTTCTTCTTTTGCAGACCCTCCATCATCTCCTCTAACTCTTCGAAAAAAATGGTTCGTCAATCTTTCAACCAAAGATATCCCGATGGAAGTTCAAGGACTATTGCAATTAGGTGATGGGTTTTGTTTACCGCCCTTTTCATATAATGACAGGTTGTCCGAAATTATCAAACATATTGAGAACAATTTTTGCAAGATTCAAAAAAGAGAACCGGAATTAGTAATGGACATTAGAAACCGTTCCATATCCATCATAAAAAATTTAGGTAATAGTAGTTTTTCGCCTACTGAGATAGATAAGAACATTAAGAGCGCAGTCTTAGTAACAAAAGATTTTACAAAAAAGAACCCGGACATCTTATTTACTCGTGTTGATAAGGGTAACATTACAGTTTCTATGGACAGACTCACGTACATCAACAATATGGAGAATTTACTTAATGACAACAATACATATATGACAGTACCACGAAATCCTATTAATAGATTAACTTCCGATCTACATACATTACTCATGAGATGGAAGAGACTTGATTACATCACGACAGCGAAGTATAGACAGTTAAATTCTTTTGTTACTGTCCTTTCTAGGGCATATGGACTACCGAAAGTACACAAGGAGAATCACCCCCTTAGGATAATCGTGTCTTCCATCAACACTCCTCTTTATTCACTAGCGGCTTTCATACATGATATCATTCATAAAAGTATTCCGCCTCCAATAAGCCAAGTCATAAATAACTTCCATTTAATCCAAAAACTACAAAAAATTACCGTTGAGAATAATTTTCGTTTAGTCTCATTTGACGTGGTCTCTCTTTTCACGAACATTCCAAATAATTTAGTTATAGAAGGAATAAAAAAGAGATGGGAGTTTATTTCAGGGAATACAAGCATTCCGTTAGATGAGTTCATTGTGGCTGTGAATTTAATCTTAAACTCCACTTATTTCACTTTCAATAATATATTTTACAAACAGACATTTGGCACACCGATGGGTTCTCCTTTGTCACCTATCATAGCGGACATTGTTCTGCAGGATTTAGAATATAAGGCATTGTCTAGTTTGCCATTCACGATCCCGATGTATGTTAGATATGTAGACGATATAGCATAATTGGTTCCATGCGATGGCCTTGAATCAGTGTTAGACGTTTTCAACTCTTTCCATCCCAGATTACAGTTTACGATAGAAATAGATGACAATAACAGATTGAATTTTCTAGACGTAACTATCATCGTGCAGGATGGCCATTTTATTTTTGACTGGTATCATAAACCTACATTTTCTGGACGTTACTTAAATTACTTCTCACACCATCCGATATGTCAAAAAAAGGGCACGATAATTGGACTTACAAACAGGGTTTTTCTTTTGTCGGATCCTACTTTTCATCAAAAAAATTTTACCCTTATCATAGAAATTCTCATTGACAATGGTTATCCGCTTAATTTTATATTTGACACAATTAATTCCCGTCTAAAATATTTACTCAACCGGAATAATTTATTAGATTTTAAAATAAACAAGACTGCAGACCCTTGACCTTTTTTCTTGCTACCTTATATAAAATCAGTATCCGAAAAATTTAATTCGCTTACGAAGAAAGCCGGTTTTCGACCCGCTTATACTGGCTGGGATAATTTAAAACCATATATCAGAGCTTTGAAGGATCCTCTCTCCAAATTTTCTAAGAATAATGTTGTCTACCGCATTAATTGCAAGGATTGTGAGGCCTCGTACGTCGGCCAAATTAAAAGAATGATAAAAACTAGAATTGCAGAGCATCGCAACCAGATAAATAGTTGCACTCAAAAAAATTCTGTTATCACCGAACACAGACTCTAACATAAACATGATTTTGATTGGGAGGGCGTTCAAATTCTTGACAATGAGCCATGCTATTTTAAGAGATTAACATCTGAAATGTTATTCATAAAGAGACAGACTGCGGGTCTTAATTTACAAGAAGACACCGAATTATTACATGATTCCTATTTACCGATCATTGAAACTTTCAAAAAATTTTAATCATAAATCAACGTACTTTTTTTTCCGATTTAAAGATTTTTATTATACTTAACGTCTTGATTTTGTTTTGATTTTGGACGTTTTGTTTATCTCTGAACTTTGACACTAATAGTCTATTTAATGTCTTTCTTCGAGACGGATGTATTATCCTGTAATGTGGCTTTATTGCGTCGTTTTATTCGGTCGATTTCATGTGGTGAGTGTTTGACAAAGAATTTTTAATGTTTGAGTTATAGTTAGACATCTAATAGATTTACGGATCTAATCTGAATTTAGAGCAATCACGGCCTCTTTGCTTGTTTCTTTCTGCATGTCTTTGCCAAGACACTGTACGGAGAATATGATAGGAGGAGAGACGTTCTGGAAACATCCACCACGTAGTCAACATCTAGTACTGCTAAGAATTTGCACAGTTAATTACACAGCCGAATATACAGTCCACTCGGATACCATTCATGCGATAAGCGTAATCCTCGTAATTTTTAAGTTTTAATTTTCCAAAAATTTTTTAATTGTACTGAAGAGAGTTGAGGACAGAAACGTACGTTTACATCTCATCATATAATGCGCATATTCATTAATAGTTACTTATACATTTCATCACATAATGCGCACAGTCATTAATAGTTACTTAATTTAAATGTATTGCAACGTTATTAAATCTATTCTTATTTATTGACTTTAACATTATTGCATAATATTAGCTCCTTAAGCCCGATTACTGTTTAATTAATATAATATATAATGTAAAAAAATAATAATATTAATTACTTTATTATTATAATTATATTATTTTAATTATGTTATTTAATTTTATTTCCGACCATTTTTATATGCACCAGTGTGCATTAGTGCATTCAATCAAATTCTCTCTTTCCCCGTTATAAATCAATTACTTTTTTCAAAAAAGTGATTTTCTAATGCTCCGGTCTCCTTTTGTGACTTATTCAGTCCATTCATATATTAAATGATATACAACATTTTTATTTTCAAAACTATTTTTATATTTTTAGAGAAACATTCTGCTAAGAATAATTAAAAATAATTCTGTATGTCAAGAATAACTAAGAATAATTAAACAAGTATTTATATAATGGTCTCTTTTTTAAATTCATGCATAATAATAGACGTATTTTCAAATATTTTATAAATTTATAAAAATTTATTCCTTCCACAGCAATGATATATGTATGTACAAAGATTTATATGTACAGTTTGAAATAGGAAAAAGCTCCAAAATATAATATAAAAAAAGTTTGAAAAGAAAATTAAAAAGTTTGAAAAGAAAATTACAATTGTGTGTTAACATTTACGAATTTACAAAATGGTTAATATTAAAAAGTGTGCAGATCTTATATAATATATAAAATACAAAAGTA